AATTAACTAATTAATTCTTTATTGAATTTTTCTTTCTTTACATGAATAATTCTTTTATTATTAATATAAATTATTTATACTACATATAGTAATTTAACTTTTTAACATAATTGTAATCAGAAAATAAATAAACAATACATTAAGTCTTATAATAGATAAATTTTTAAAATAATTATCTTTAATTTTTACTAGATATATTTTTCTAAATTGCTGATCATATAACAAATAAAATTGTACAATATCATTCCATTTAAAAAGATTAAATTTCAAGAAATTTCTGATGTTTTATGAATAATTCAATTTTTTTTATATATAATCAGAAAATAGGTAATGATCAAATTTTTGTGTAAAAATATTTTTTCAAAGCAATTTTTTTCAAAACTCAAGTTTATAATGTCTTTTACTATTAAAATTTCAGATATTGATGAATACACTACAGAAGATTTAATTGAAATTATAAGTAAATATGATATAAACTAAATTATTTTTTTGTTAAATCTAATAAAAAATATATTAAAAATAGAACAAAGATAATGATGAATAGAAAGAGAAGAAACTTGTGTTTTCTTTACTTCTAAATTATGAGTTTTAAGAGTTTTATATACAACTATTCCTATAGAATATCTAGATACATTACCAGAAGAAATTGTAACTATATATAATATAATTGAATGAAAATTATACAGATGCATTCACTAATATGTAAATGATTATTAATAAAGTAATAGAATATAAGAATTAAGGTTAGGGGTTAGAGTTAGAGTTAGAATTTACTTAGTTGAAATATGTTGAAAAACAAAGAAGTTTTATAAAAAAATTAAGTTATAAGCTATTTATATTCAAGATTCAACGGTAGTAAAATTATTCAGAGAATTAATCAATTACTTTTATCAAATTACTTTTTATTAAGAAATCTTCCTATAGGACTTATTGAATATTTTTAAATAGCTTTTAATATCTACTCAAACCTCATGCTAAGATATTCCATAAAGTATCTTAAATTGGTAATTCTGATATCTACGCAATTTAGTGGTTTGTGTTTGAGAAGTTCTGATAATACGTGCAATAAATTTTTTTTTTGTAATTAAATTTATGCATCATTAATTAATTAAACACATGTTACATTATAAATAAGAGGTGAAATTATATGAAATTTGGATGTTTATTATTAAATAGTTCTGAAATTTGTGTAAATTAACATAATATATAGTATTGTTTCCAAAAAGACACTCAAATACATAATTTAATTTGTAATATATTGATTAATTTATTTAATCATCAAGGATTTCTTGGTGATTGTACTAATTAATTATATGCAAATTACAAAATTGTTCAATAACAGCATTATATAGTAGCGGTCATAAGTATCCAACTGCTTCTAATTCTTACTACAAGTAAGTAAATTCAAAATTTTTTTTATTTAAAAAATACATAATCAACTAACTAAAATTAATATATTGTGTAGTTATTATCTGACTCTATAAATGCAGCTATACGTCATTTTATACTAGCTACCAAATTTGCGGTAAGTACAGGTGATAATCAATTTCATTCTTTTGTAAGTTCCTCTTTTAATCTTCTACTGATTGAATTTTTTTTTTGTATATTAATTTTCATTAACCTTTAAACATTTTCTATAGAATTTTAGTCTGAAAATATTAATGGCTAAGAAAGTATCTCAATACAATTTTCTTCCTTTTATTTTTTCGCAATTTTTGATTAATGCTTTAAATTATTATCTTTTTGCAAGATCCAATCTATGTTACCTTCACTAAAAAGTTTAGAGGTAGAAGCCAGAAGACCCTGCTCATAAATAGTACACATAAATTCAGCATTAAGGTTCCTCTGAAAGCAAAATAGCTTACCAAATCCAGAAGCAGAAAATTATTCTCAAATATGAATTTTTGGTGGATGCTTAACAGAACGAAACACTTTTTTTCTACTAGAAAACTGCCAAACCTTTTTTTGATGTATATAATTGAAATGTAAAATTCTTATGTTTTTTTGCCCATTGCAACCTTTTCTTTTGATAGTTTTCTTTAAGCAAAAGTTTAAAAATTTTGTTACTAAACTTTTCTTCAGACTTACAAAAACGTTATCTTACTGTTTCTATATTAAGCCTAACACCTCTTTTTTTCACTTTTTCTTGTATTGAATAACTGTTATATTATGTTCTTTCTCTGCCATCTTTATAATCTTATCATCTTATTTCGAAAATATTACATAAGACCACCTGATCTTTTTAAAGTACTTAAGTCTCAATTTTTATGATATCTTTTAACACAATAAATAGCTATAAACTTACTAACATATATCTGTTTAGCAATAAATCTAAAACTAAACTTTGGACCAGCTGTATGTTCATGCAAAAGATAATTTTATATCATTTTTCTAAAGAAAGTTCTATTTTTCAAGCGAAAGTTTGATGATCATTTAAATTTTTTTTTGTATCATTGACACTTATAAATTTACAGGTGATTATGTATTGTGTTATATTATATTTCTGGAAAATTTAAGGGGTAGTTATATAATAATTTTGGACGATCTCAGGCGGTCAGATACTTATGACCGCTACTGTAAATAGAAATTATCTTTAATAAAACTATTTATTTATTTTATCATAAATTTATTTTTACATATTTAATATTTAATAAATACAAAAATATTTTAATATTAAAAAAAATTTATTTAATTTAATAATTTTATTAAATTTAAATTTCTTATAAATTTTAAAATTAATAAAATAAAATAAGTTATAATTTTTAAAAAAAATTTTATATTAAAATATAAGTTAATAAATATTAATTAATGTTAATTTAAATTTAATAAATTTAAGTTAACATATTTATTATATTTAAATTTATTTAATAATTTAAAACTTAAAACAATATTATACTAAACTTATTAATTATATTTTATATAAAATTTATATAAAATTTATAAATAAAATTTGCAATAAAACTATTAATAAAAATCATTTTTCTTTATATATCAAATATAATTTTTAGAATGAATTATATTTAGATTTAATATTAACATATTTTTTATTTTTTAGCAATTTTTTTATTTTTTATTATAAAAGTCTTATATATTTAATTAATTTCATTAATTAAAATTTTAAATTATTAAAAGATTTTATAATTTTTTAAAATTTTTTATTAAAATTTTTATTATATTGTTAACTCTTATTATAATAAATCTTACATTCTAGATCTTAACTTTATTATAAGGCTATAATGAAGATTTTAAGAGATTTGATTGGCCAATTTGATATAATAAGAGTATTTATTAAATTTTTTTAAAAAATTCATTATATCAAGAGTTCACTATATTAAGGGTTAACTGTATAAAACTTTATTTTTACAATCTTTTATAAAACTATATATAATATTTAAATATTTAAAAGTTAATAATATAGAAGGATTTCTAGAAAAATCAGATTCTGAGAAATTTTTAACTTAAATTAAAAGCTTAATACATTTTAATCTAATAACATTAAAAACTAAAATGCAATAAAAATTTCAATTTTGTTAAAAAGTTTTAGAATCTGGTTTTTCTAGCAATCAACCCATATATATAATTTTAAATATTTTATACAGTTTTAATAATTTAAAATAAATAATTTTATTTTTATTTTATTAAAATAATATTAATAAAAGAATTAAATTTTTAATTTAAAATGAATAGATAAATAATATTTAATATATTATTATTAAATTTAATTTTAATAATATAATATTTAAGTTAAAAATTATAGCAATTAAATTTATTGTTAGAATTTACAATCTTAGAAATTCTCTTATTTCTATAAGTATCTAAAATTCTTATATAATTTATATATTTTAAATTTAATATTATAATTTAATCATATTAAGTAATAAATTTTAAAGCAAATTAATTATAGAATATAAGTTTAATATAAAATAATATTAATGAAAAATAATTTTGTAAAATATAAAATTAATCTTTATTTATAATTCAAAATTTATAAAAGAATTTTAAACTTCTAAAGCTTTTAAGTTTTTTAAGTCTAATTTATAACTTTAGCAAAAAGTAAAATAAAACTATTTTACAATAGTTAATTATTTACTAAGTTATAAATTAAGTTAATTTTATAAGATAAAATAAAAATTTAATATTTAATATATAAATAAAATATTGTTATAAATATAATAAAATAATAAAATACTAAAAATAATAATTAAAAAAAAATTATAATTATATAAAAATAATAATATTCAAAGAATTTATAAATCTGATAAATCAGGTAAATCTTATAAATTTTACAAAATTGAATTAATTTGATTTTTTTTATTGTAATATATTAATTATTTTAATAAAATTATATTTTTTAAATAATTAATCTATATAAAATTAAATCTATATTCTCTAATGTCATTTTTTTAATATTAAAGTTAAAAGAAAATTATTAAAAAGATATTACTTTATAAGATTATATAAACTATATAGATTTATATGATTAAATAAATAAATATTTTATTATTAATAAAATTAAATCTTATAAAAATTATAATAATAATAAGATTTTTCATATAATAAATTTTATTTTATAAAATAATTAATATATTTATAATTAAATTTAAGAATTAATGTTCTATTATATTTTTATAATATTTAGTTATTATTAAAAATATGATTTAGAATAAAAACGGTATTAAAATAAAATATTAATATTTGGTTAAGATTTAAGGATTATTTTAAGGTTTTAGGAATTAGGCGTAGCATTACGAGGACCTAACATGCCTATTATTTGTATACAGCATAATTACGTATAAATTACCACATTGTCAAACTTTGAGTTGTAATATAAAAGATTTTTTATTTTGATCCAAATGAAAAATTTTTCATTATTTAATAACGAAATTTATTGAATATGAATGTTTTGAATTTATAATATGCATAATCATTGAACGTTAATTATATATATATATATATATATATAAAAAAAAAAAAAATTTAACCCCTTTCCGCAATGATTTTTAAATATGGCCGGTTCTTGGCATCAACTTTCCCATTTTACCAGCTTCTTCAATAACGATCTCGGTTTCAGGAATTTTTTTCCATTTTTTAATTAATTTATCGCTTATCCTACCATCACGATCTTTTCCGTGCAATTTTCTAAATATAGATTTTGTTACACCTTTAAACTTTTTATCATACCTATCAGGAAAATGATGAAATAACCAATTTCTACGTAAGCTTATATCTGTAAATAAATCGGGTTTAGACTTTTCACATACAATATCTTTTGTATAATATGCCACTGAAGAATTAACGTGTGTTCTATAAAATCCTTTATATAAATAATATATGGTACCAGGTATATATAATTTTTGTGCCGCAGAATTTGATTTTAAACAGGTTCGATAATCATCAATTGATGTCAAGATTTTAGACAATTTATCTTTTGAACTTAACTATAATCATTACAGTTGGAAAATATTAATAAACGTACAAAATAAAGATTGTTTTTATAAAGAGAAAATTTTTCTTTTATAAATACCTTTTTGTATTTCTCATTTTTCAATTCACTAGCGGCAAATTTTACCAACTCTTTAAAATCCATTAAATTTCCATAACTCAATCTTGGTATAACATCATTCTCGTTAACAAAATTATCAATACAATTTTCGGTCTCGGCTTTACAAGCTAAATCCAATGAACAGCAAGGTGCTGTAGCAAAATTCCATGCATGTATATCAATACCTTGAGTGATTAAATCACGACATTGTTCTCTTAATAACAATGTAACAATTGATGAAACTGAAGCACCTAACGAATGTCCAATCACTTGTATAGCTTTGGACTCGAATTTTTTTACTGCTTCTCTAATATTTTTTAATGAATGCTTTACAAGGTATTTTGCACTACGTAGTACTCCTCTGTGAACGAATCCTCCATTCCATGGTTCATGATGTGCTAATGCATCCGTTATCACGTCAGTAACATTCTAATATAAAATAGGAATTTAGAATTTCAAATTTGGATGTGGATATAATATTTGAAAGTGTTAACGTACCATTGTTCCTCGTATAGATATGATTATAGATTTTGTATCTGGATCATGAATTACCATATAATTGGGAACAGATACGGCTTTTTGACCATACTCCCAACAAATAATATCTTCATTTTCTAGGGAAAAGAATTCTTGTACAGCCTTACGGTCCGAGTTTATTCTAATTGCATCTAAAGAAAAGGAGAAATTAGAATCTGAATTTCTCGTGCCTCAGACGACGATTTGCGTTAGTCACACCTCAAATGTAAATCTTTGAACTAAGTTGTATACCGTGGTCCCACTTTAAAACAATACAGTTACAGGAGGTCCTTATCCGGGTGTTCATTCATACTTCAAACTTCAAAAATTTGTCAATCGGCATCTGAGGTCATCTGACGCAAATCATCACAGTATTAATTAATTTAACAAAGGAAACTTACTTAAATGAGCTTTGCTATGACCATACCCGAACCAATTGAACAAGAAAGATCCCTGATGTAATTGAATATCAATGTTAACAAAAATTTTCTAACAAAGAAACTCTTTCTATGAATAATAAATCACGTACATATGAAGCCATAGAATATTTCAAATATTTTTGAGCTGTTTGAATTCTTTCTAGATCATGACATAAAATTCCTGTAACGGGGCTATTTCAAAAAAAAAAACGAAAAATAAAGATTTGAATCTTCTAAAAAAAACTATTAATCAAAATAAAGTTGGCAACCTTACTTTGGTTTTTGAACATAATATTTCTCCAATAACATATAAGCTTTTAAAAATTCCAATTTACTCAACCTCCACCCATTATCAAAAAAAGCGTGGTACAACACCGTAATCTCTTTAATGGCATCTCTTGTCTCCTGACCTAATACCATATCAAGTATACCTAAAGGCTTATTTTCAGGATAGGTTATTGCAAATTCTCCATCTTCAACGTCTGATATCTCGGTAGATACTTCTTCATCAACATTTCTCTTTATATTTGTTACTGATGGAGGCATTATTTGTCTACTTTTTTCTGCATTGATGTTTGGAAAGAAAGATGGCACGGTCTTTGAACGAACTGGCTTCGGCGTTTTTGGAGTAAGAAGTGGTGGATCACTTGGAAAATGGAATTTTATTGCAATTTGTATCGACCCAGTTTTATGACCATTCACATTAAGTTCCAATGGAAAAGTTCTATTTTATTTTTTTTTTTAAAAAAAAAAAGAAAAAATTTTTTACTAATGATGGTTAGAATCTACAATAAAAACAATAAGTAACGTTTCGAGAAAGTTAATTACCCTTCAAAGTCCTTCCTATTTATTATAGATTCTTTCAAATTAATTAATCTAATAAATGCTCTTCCTAATCTTTTCTTCGCATACGAAAAATTTGCATGTTCGTAAATGTCAATTTTCAAAGTATTAAATACAAAAGAATGATAATCAAAAGGAAATAAAAATAATTTTTTTAATAGTTCATGATAAGATGAATTTGGTTTTGTGTGATGAGTAACTGAATGAATAGTTAATTTTATTGAAGTTTTTGCTTTAGAATTTGGTGATCGTGGTTCAAATTCTAACTTGACTATTCGAGTTAACATTTTATCTAAGAAAGAAAAGTTCTATTTTAATTATTATTATTTTTTTTTTTTTTTTTTAATATACACTTGTAGGTTGACAATACCTGGTAATGCATCACCGGTTACTATTTTTTTTTTTTTTTTTTGTTTTTAAATAAAAGTGATATTAATGATATTGTTAAAGAATCAGAAAATATGCGACCGATAAAAACATACATAGTGAATCAACACTTCCTTCCCGAGATGAAGAGGACACGTGTTCTCCATTTTCTAATATATAATGAATAATATATTATAAATTTAGGGAAAAAAGAACATATTTTTTAACAAAAGGAAATTATTAAATACCTTGAACCAAATTATTATCAAGGCTTGATTTTATTTTATCTGATGCTTTTTTTTTTTTTTTTATAAAATAAGGAAATTCAGAAATCATAAGAAACATTTTCAAAAGTAACTAATCTGTTAAAAATCTTACGTTGCTTAAATTCTTCAATTCCAGGTTCAAAATAATCTTTTTTTACATGATTAACTTGTTTAATCAAGATACCGTTAGTACCGCTAATACTAGAATCACTTTTATTACTAATCGAAGGATTATAAATTTTTCTACTATTATAATTAACTTGATGTTCTTTCCATTGTTGGATATTAATATTTTTACAATTTGATCTAGAAAGTTGTTGCAAAGAAGCATTTTTAAATGTTGTATTATAAGAATTTCTAATGAAACTACCCGAGGCTCTATAAGAATTTCTTAAAGATTGTGACTTCATAGTGGTCACATCGATATTTGAATTCCAATCAAAATCTTTCCAAGCTTTCTCCGGATCATCATCAACAATCTTATTTTGATCATTTAATAACATAGAATCTGGTTCTTTAGTTAAAACCTTTCCTTGAACATCCTCTTCCTCATCATCAGAATAATCGGAAGTAGCATCTGATTCAAACTCTTCATCTTCCTCAGCAATCTTTTGTTTATTTAAAGAACTCTTATCTTTTTTCAACTTATTAATTACGTCTCTTGGTAAAAACATATTTATTTGATCCTGAGCCTTTGCCAATTCCTCGCCGTGTTTTTCTAGCTCATTAATCATTAATCTTGTTTCGGGACTAAAATATGTGTCAGCGTAATTTGTGGACAAATGAGAACCATTAAAACTAGCACTTCTCATATTGAAATTGTTCTCTGTACCTAATTTTCGTGAGTTATCATCGAAATAATTCGTCGAATTATTTTTATCATTAGGTAACTTTGGTAAACTTGAACTTTTAATTAATAGAGTTGTTTGTCCTTGAATATCTTTCAAAGCCCTAAGTTTTTCTTTGAATTTCTCAGATACTCTCGTTGGCAACGTTATAGGAAGTAAACCTTTCAAAGGGTTTTGTATATCAGTTTCAACGCTAGAAGTTTCCATACTATCCGCTTTTTATATAAGAACTTTTCTAAATAATATACAAGTTACTAAACTAATAAAAATAAATGCGGTCTTATAGAAAAAAAAAAAAATCAAAAAACAAATAAAGATGATACAGTTATCTAATATTGGTTAAAAAAAATATTTTTTTTTTGTTATCTTAATTTATATTTATATTCAATGTCCCCTATGTACGACAAAGTTAAGCACGTGGTAGGTACATACATGTAGAACTTCGGCGGATTCGTTTCACTATTTTCGGCCGATATCTCAATAATGTTGAAGATAGGAAAGAAAGCATATTATCCAAATTTCAGGTTCAGGTAACGTTAACTAAATGCAAAAGGTTGCGTGATGAAACCAGGGCTACGATATTACCAAATATGATGACATATATCAGCTGTTTCAAAGCAACAAACGTATGATTCAAATCACCTGCCTTTCAGAAAAACTATGGCTTTATAGAAATCATTACTCTGCTCCCTATTTTTTTCACAACACGTGTTATACAAATTATGAAGGAACATCTTTTAGAATGAAAGATTTAGGTGGGAAAATGCATTCATTCAAACCCTTATTATCAAATCCATATTGGTAGATCTTTCCTGAACTTCTTTCTTAAACTATACTATTAATTTGAAATCCTTAAATTCTTCGTTGGTAGAATAAATAATTCATGAAATTAATTTCGGCGGTACAGCCGCTGTAAATTCATAAATTCGTGAAACAAATCACGTGCGTTCATTACATATTGTCGGCTTATTTTCGTGTTCGAGTAAAAACGCGATCGTCGTTTAGCGGAGACTGAAAATTTTTATAGAATTGATATTGAAATTTCTTGTTCGAATTCTTTGCATACAAAGTACATTCATTGTAAAATACGGAATTACGAACCAAGTAATAAGAAAAAAGTTCCGAGACATAAAAAGAAATGTCTAGATTGATCAATTTACGTCATGAGCAGACACTGGTTTGTATATAAACCGAAGGATAATTCAAAGGAACTTTTAATCTTTCATATGACTTAATATGTCCGTCAATACACCTTTGTGTGTGGATCTAATACTGCAGCTACTAATGTAGAAGAATCCATTATATCCATGTATTGATCAATTTTTGAAGCATTGATTATGCTAACTTACTTTGACTAAATCCTTCTTTTCCAATTTAATTATCTAGATGTTCTTGGATTTCAATAAATAAAAACCTAACATCGGAGATTGTGGGATAAGAAGAAGCTTGCATTTTCTAATGGTTCAAGTAAAATAAGGATATCTTATTTAGTTTAAAAAAAAATTAATTAATGTGAAAAGGATTTTATATTACCTATTATCATAAAGAAACATTTGGATTTTACAAACCAAATACTTACATTTAATTTTGCCTATCCTTATGCATCTGGCATTAAATTCTTGATATCTTGATCTGTTGCAGATAACATTTCAATAGGACACAATATTTTTTGAAACTTTATAATCATATAATAGGTATTATCCCATCTAGTCTTAACATCCAATTGTGATTTATAATACTGCAAATTTTCTACTGAACATAACTATTCAATCTATTACATCTTCAAGATGAATGTTTAATTTTTTTATTATATCATGAACTTTAATAACTTCTTCATCAATAATATTAATTTTCTGCTATGCAGCTAAATTTAAAATATATGTAGAGCATCTATAGTATCAAAAAGTTTGATCATTAAATTCTTGTATGAGTTCTTTTGCAATTATTCTTTCAAATAAAAATAAATATATTCAAAGATTTATTTTATAACAAAAACTTTATTATCTACAAAAATAATTACTTTATATATTATAATTTTCTAAAACTATTTATAATAAAATTTCTATAATATTTTCTTATCCTATTACAGAATAATTCCTCTATAATTAATATTCATTTCATATTAAGATAATTATTATCTAATTATTTTATAATAATTCTATAATTAATAATTAAATTTATTTTATTAAATGTTCTAATTATTACTCAACATTCTCTTCTTTAGTTCCTTTTTTTGATATTTTAATTTAGGTTTATATTGCATATTATCATAACTAATAATTTTATTTTTCTTATATTACACAAATATTCTACAGATCATTTATCATATTATATACCATTTTTTGTAAATTATTTTTGCTATACTATAAGATCTTTATAATACAAATTATTTGTGTTATAATATATATCAATATTCAAATATGATATTTCAATAAGATTAAACTTTATACTATATATTTTATATATAATTTTAATATTAAATTATATAGAAACTTTGTAATAAAAAGAGAAAAAATTATTAAAAAATTTTTTAATTTATAAGTTAAATATATTCAGATTTAATATTAATTTAAAAAATTTATTAGTAATTTTCTTTCTTTTTACTGTAAATACTTATATAATGTAAATTTTAAATCTAAATTTAATGTTTATATAATTATCTAAATTATTAAATAGAATATAAATATATATAATCTAAAATATTTGATATAATAATAAGTATATTACATATATTATAAAATTATAAATATATTATAACTATATAAAAAAGTATAGTAAATATCAAAAATTGAAATAGTAATTATATATATTTTGATTTTTAATAGTTTAAATTACATATATATTTATAAATTAACAAAATATACTTTTGAAAAATTTCTTAATTTTTTGAAAAATTTATTGATTAATTTATTTATTAATTTTTAAATTTATAATATAAAATATAATATAATAATCAATTTTTTTTTTTTTATCATATATAGTAAATTTTTATTCTATCATATCTAATTTTAAATATTAATGTTCTAATTTTAAATTTATTGATTTTTTTTTTGATAACAAAATTTTATTAAAATAAATTATAATTTATTACATTTAAAAATTAAAATTTTATATAATTAAATTTTGTTTAATTTATATTTATTAAAAAAATTTTTTGATATGAATTTTATTCTAAATAGTAATTAATTAAAAAAAAAAAGTAAATATAAATATAGAATTATTATATTATTTAATTTTAAATATGTTAAAATATATAAATATATTATTAGAAAAAAGTTTTTAATAAGCTAAATATAATAAGAAAAAAATTCTTAAAATAATAATAATTAAAACTTTTTAGATTCTTAATTGAAAAATTAAAAATAAATATATTAAATATTAATATTTAAATTTAAATTAAATAATAAAATTAAATAATATTTTATTTAAAATTTTTTTATAGTATAAATAAATTATAAAAGTTTATAAAATTAATATTTAATAATATTTAATTTTTTTAAAAAACTATTTTTATTATTCTAAATTAGTTTAATTAATTTCAGATTTTAAATTTTTAAAATTTACTAATTTTATCATAAACTTTATTATATAACTTGAGTATTTTTAAAAATTAGTTCAAATTTTAGTATTTTAAATAATATAATTAATTTATATTATATTTATTTTTTAAATTGTAAATATAAATTAATTATAAAATATTATAAAAAAATTATAATATTTTAATATCTAATAATTATAAAAATAAAATAAAATTTATTAAATTTATTATATTAAGATATTTAATATATTATCCAAAATACTTAATGAGTTAATTTTAAAAATCTTTATATAAATAAACTTAATTTTTTTACTTATTAAAAAATAATTTTAACTTAAAATTTATTTTTTTACAATTAAATTTTATCTTTTTCAAATTTTTCTCTTTTTACAATTAAATTATCAAATTATTACTAAAATACTAAAAAAATAAAAAGAACATAAGTTGAATTTTCTCAATCAACTAATTAATTTTTTAAATAATAAACTAATTTTTTTACTTTTTTATAATAAAAAAAAACAAAAAATATATTAATCAAAATTAATTTCTTATTGAAATCAATAAAAAATTCAGTAAAACAAATAAAGATTTATAGAAGAGATAAATTTATATACTTATATTTTAATATTTATAATAACTAATTTTTCTTTTTAATATTTAAAACTTGATTAATTTGAGAGAATATGATAATCTAAATTGTTGAAATAATTAAATGATAATTCTTTTGCAATAAAAAAAATTAGTAAATTATCATTAAATTAAAGGAAAAAAACTAATTTGTTATGCTAATAATAAATTAAAATCATTATAAAATAATTATGAGAATAATAATAATATAAAAAGTTAATATAAAAGAAGTCAAGATATATTTAAATTTATATTTAAATATTTATTTTATATTTAAGCTAAAATGAAAGCAATTTTACAAAAAATAATTTAAATTAAAATAAATTTTTAATAGTGAAAAGAATATTATATTTTAAATTTTAAAATTGCTAAAAGCTTTAGCTTTGAATTATTAATCTTCTATTAATTAATTAACAAACTAATTGAAATTTCTCTATAAATCATATTAGTTAGCTCAAAAAAAAAAGAAAAATGAAAAAGACTATTTAAAATAGTGATGATTATATAATATTAATTAAGTACATAATGTAAGTAAATAGAATAAATACAAAATTTAATTATATTTAAATTAATAATTTATATAATGATAATTTGTAATATTATAACCAGCTATAAATAATTAGAAAATGATAAATTTCAAATGATTTGAGATGAAAAATATAAATTTTTTTCTATTTTTCATTATTTTATTTATTATTTTTATATTTTTTAAGTAATTCAAAATTAATTTTTATATTTTTTATTATTTATTATTATCTTTATATTTTTTAAATAATTTTAAAAATCGATTTTTTATATTATTTTTTAATAATTTATTTATTATCTTTGCATTTTTTAGGTGATTTTAAGAGTCAATTTTTTTATATTTTATTATTTTTACTTATTATCTTTATGTTTTTGAATAATTTTGAAAAATTATAAAAAAATAAAATATATTTTAATTATTTATTATTAATTTATTATTTATTTTACATTTTTTAAAATAATAATGATATTATAATAATAAATATTTAGAATAATTTTGAGGAATTTTAAGAGAAAATGTATCAAATTTTTATTATTTTATGATTTTACATTATTTGAATAATAGTAATATTATAATAACAAATATTTTAGAATAATTTCAAAGAATTTTAAGAAAAAAAATAAATCATATTTTTATTATTTTTTATTATTTTATTATCTTTTTGTAAAAAAAAAAATACTTATAAATAATAATTTTTATTTTTAAGACTTAAAGAAAAAAAATAGTTTTAATTAAAATATAAATTCAAATCTAAGAACTATTGCTAAAACAAAGAGAAATAGAATTAAAGTACTGAACAGTTCAGATTAATCTGAAAATTTTCAGTTCAGATTGACTTTGATTTAATTTCAGATTACAAAAAAATCAATCTGAAAATTTTTGATTCAGTTCAGATTTTTTATTATTTATTTGAAACATTATTATTATTCTAAATGAATAATGTTATTATCATTTTAATAACTAATTTTCTTATCGTTCATCTGAAATGATTGATATTATTATTCTAATTGAATAATTTTTTTATTATTCTTTTAAAATATTATTATCATTCTAAACAAATAATTTTCTTATCATTCATTTAAAATGATATTATTATCATTTCAAATAAATAATTTTCTTATTATTTTTCTAGAATAATCAATATTATTATTCTAATTGAACAATTTTCTTATTGTTTATTTAAAATGAACTATCTAAAATTTTAGATTAATCTAAAAATTTCAGTTCAGTTCAGATTTTTTTTGATTTACAGTTTAGTTCTGTTTCAGATTAGCATTTTTAAGATTAATAATCTGAACTGAACCATACTGAAATTTTCAGTTTAGTTTCAGATTGGCCTATAATTTAAATTAAACTTAACTATTCAGAGCATTAAATAGAATATTAGTTAAAATTCCTAAAACAATTTCATATTTCTATCAAAAAGTTAAAATTTAAGTTTAAGTCTAAAAAATATTACATAAAAAAACATTAATAATATTTTTAAAATAAAAAATAATTTACTATTTTCACAAATAAAATCTAAAATTACTATTAAAAAATCATATCTAAAATTATTATTATTCTTAAAATAAAAATAAATATTATTTTAACAAAAACTACAAATTTTTAAATTAAGATCATTATTAAAAAAAAGAATATTTACTATTTTTAATAAAAGTTATTAATTTTTAAAATGTAAAGAAATTATTTAAAAAAGAAATATAAAATAATTATTAAAAAAAAAAATCCTCTAATTTTTTAAATTTAAAACTATTGTTA